AATAAAGTGTATTTTTGGGAAGGTTATTTTATTATTTAAGTAAATTAGGATGGGACCTCAGAAAGATGACATTAGAGCAAATTCCTGAATGAGGTGAGAGAATCAGTCTTCCAGGCAGAAGAAAGCCGTTCAGGTGGAGGGGCAGCTAACGTAAAGTCTAGGGTAGGAGCATGCTTTAGCAAGTCAAGGGCCAGCAAAGAGCCTAGTGGGGTTGCAGCAGACTGAGTAAGGCTGTATGGACTAAAACTGCTATAAAAGTTTTTTTTTTTCACTCCCTATATTTATTCAGAAGGGGCTTAAGAAGCAGGATAAAGTAATTTTTTTAAATACTGTAGTGCCAAACATGCTACTAGACATATGGTGTTCTCATAAGTCTCTTTTATTTCTTTAAATGAGAATAGTGCTTTATTTAAAAATTTCAATGTATATTTTATTGAACTGAATTCAAACTATTAATTTTTTCTTCCATGAGCCACTAATGCTCTTGATATTTGTATTTCTGCTGTTATCTTTTTTAAAGGATGAACATAAATTCATATAGGAAACCAATCATTAATATTCAGCTAATTCCGATATTGTAAAGCAGAATAGCTATTTGAGCGTAATAGATGCATAATTTATTGAAAGTGTAATGTTAAGATTCACTCTTCACTCGTTCATTTATATATATTTATTGAGTCCATAAAATATGTCAAGCACTTGATTAAGTGCAAATGATAGTGAGTCACTGACTTCATAGACTTTGCCATCTGGTAGAGGCGAGAAAATAGGATTTAAAACATATTCTACAAGAGCTGTGTGAGAGGGGAAATACCGCGTGCTCTGGGAACACACAAGAGCTGCATTAATCGGTACCCGGGACAATCAAAACTTCCCTGAAAAAGTGACGTTTTCACTTGCAGCCTCAGGGATAAGTGGGGGTTGGCTTGGTGGAGATGTTGGTAAAGTTCCAGGAAGATCCAGAGAGGAGAGAGAACTTGCTGACATCAGGGAGTCATTTAAGGTCTTTCAGTAGGGGGAAAGCATGATCAGATTTTTTAAAATCAAAAGAATTATTTTGACTAATGTATGGCAGAGAGTATACTGAAGGAAGTAAGGTGAAGACAGAAAGACCGGTTCACAGGCTGTTGCAGTAAACAGGCAAGCAATCAAGGTAGCCTGCTCCAGTAGGGTGACAATTACAAAGGAAAAAGAAAACAAATAAATGGATTTTCGATGTACTTCTTAGGTGGGATGAATGAATAGGTACAGAGGAAGAGGACTTAAGCACAGCTCTCATGTTTCCAGGGTGAGTGATAGATGGATGGAGTTATTTGCCAAGACCAGAAAAGGAGCAGGTTGGGGCTGAGGGAAAAAAACGGCGAGTTTCGTTTTGTTCTCAGTCTCTGGTGTTCATATTCATCTCTATATTCCCTCTGAGTGGCAAACAAATAGCCAATAAATAGTGGGCTAGATGAGCTCAGGAAAGACTTAAGAGGCAGAAGGGACAAAGACGATATTTCATTTTAAAAGAAAGAAAGAAAACGGTGCCTGGGCAAAATGTTAATTTGCACGTTATATAAACAAAATCCAAGCAAGTCATCTTTTTCTATTAAAAAATGTCAATGCTTAGACTATTTTAACTGCACCTAAAAGTACACAGTAGGGTGATATTTAAATGTAAAGTTTATTACATGGTAAATATTTCATTATTTTATCTAAGAACAAGAAATAATATTTAGCTAATAAAAGGGTAGTTTAATTTAAAACTAATTTGGCTCTACTTTTAAAATAACTGTTCTTGTCTTTATTATTTTGAAGTAAAGCTTATGTTTATGGATTTTACTTAACATAATATTATCTAAACATGAACGATTATATGAAAAATATTATTTCAAAGGGAAACACGAATGTTAAAGAAAGTCATATTCATAAGTATGAATATATTTATAGTGCCCCTTCTTAGATCTAGATGTTCAAAAAGAGAAGCTTGAATTGTTTTATATATATCTGTGTAAAGAGGTAGGAAATGAAAGATGTAAAAATCAAAGTAGCTGTCATTATGAATCCCGCTACTTCTTTCAGTATTACAATTCAGAAAGAATACTTGTATTAGTGCCAATTAATCAGCATTATCATTATTATTTGATTAGAAATTTACTGAATTGGCAAATGTCTTAAGAGGGGCACTGCCTCCCAAGTATAAAATAATACCTGTACTTGGAGAAGCAAATAGAATAAACCATGGATTTTGACTCTGTGACCCAAAGTTTTCTTCTTTGTCAAATGGAGATATTAATGCATAATGAAAGTACTATACTAAGAATGAATTAAAAACAATCCTTGTGAAAGCCTTACCAGAGAATCTAGCATAAGAACCTAGAACTGAATCTTACATATTTTTTCTTTATTGATTTTTTTTTTTTAGAGAGATAGGAAGGGAGAGGGAGAGAGATAGAAACATCGATGAGAGGGAACATCAATTGGCTGCCTCTTGCATGCCCCTCACTGGGGATCTGGCCCACAGCCTGGGCATGTGCCCTGATCAGGAATTGAACCAGCAACTTCTTGGTGCATGGGTCAATGCTCAACCACTGAGCCACACAAGCAGAGCTAGAACTGAATCTTAATAACTGCAAAAGAATCTTAGTAACTGACAGGGACTTGAAAGTGATGTGAGTCTGTCTACTCAAGACACATTAAGGGATGGCAAATGAAGATTTAATAAAGTATAATTAAAAGCAGAGTTTGGAGAAAATGAAAACTGGCTCATACATTATAATCAACTGAGATGAAACTTCTTAGAAGTAGTTTCCCAAGGTTGGGGTGAATGTTGGATAAGGGTCAAGATAAAACTTCTCATTAGGCATTGTAGTCAGCTTTTCTCTGACCCATCTGGGCAGGTTTGTGGAGAAGAATTTGGATACTATTTTAAAGCTGAGGAGTGGAACTATTACAGGTCTTCTCTGTAGCTCTGGTGAAAGCTGAAGTCAAGGTCAGGGATCTGTGAATACAGTGTCAGGAACAGGAAGCAAATTGATGTAGGCACCCCAACAAAGGTAAGAGTCAGTCCACTTCAAAGAAAGCCAGAGTTTCAGCCATGACATAAGTTTAGGATGTGTCTGCATTTGAATACCATTTTTAAATCATTAGCAAAAATGTGTGTGTGTGTGTGTGTGTGTGTGTGTGTGTGTGTGTGTGTTTAAAAGTAGCTAATAGCTTTACCATGACAGAGTTTTATTTTCTTGTTATACCATAGTGTTGACTTACTAAGATCCTAATTAAAACTCATATATTCTAATGCGTATATTACCACTTCTATAAAGGATCTTTATTCTGTTTATGGATCAAATTGGTTAAAGCAAGAGCGAGCATGTTTCATATCTTTTCTCTTGTTTTCTGATAAAGAAAAACAATTTCTATCTTTAAATTTTAAGGCAATATGCTATTATAAGGATAGAAATAATCTGTGTCAAATATTCTAATACTATCTCTATAGGAAAAGAAGTTTGGATGGTTGCCTAACAACCTATTCTCTACAAGAATCTTGCAATGAAACACAGGAGATGCGTCCACCTCGCCCTACCTCCCATTGACCACTCTCCCAACAGCGAAAGCACAGGAGAATGTCTAACTTGCTTTGAAAACAGACATTCTAAATCTACAAAACTCTTTATTTTTTCCACATTCAAACCTATTGCTGGATATTCTTCCCCCTTCCTTTAACGCCACTACTCTTTTTAGATTTACCTATTGCAACCACTTTTCTGTACTGTAGATATTTCACAGATGCCATTTCAAAGTACAAGAAATGTCATGTTACTTTTATTGTCCCCATGGCTCCAACAATTCCCAAGGTATTTCCAGCTCAAAGAAACAGAAACTCACACTGTAGATCTCTGCAGAAAAGGTAAAATAGGAATGACTGTTATTAACCTCTGTGGAATATAATATGCCTCAGCTCCTCCTGTGAGGCTCAACTGGGTTTTCAGAAACCCACCAGGTCTTCTGACAATCCCCTTTGCTGACCATATGTATCTGTCTCTGATGCTACAGTATAAAACTACAGTTTTCCTTACTGACTAAGACCATCTATCATGACAATGAACTTCCATGAATATGATTCCATTTTATTAAGCACAACTGCTTTATATCTGGCTTCACAGCCTTACTGTGTTTTTCGGGCACAGAAAAATATAACACTTCTTGAAAGTGGAGACTAATCTTATTATTAGATGATCTATTATTCTATTAATTAGGTAGCTATGAAGTCCATAACAACAGAAACTAGGGAAGATTTTGTAGGACGTGGATTCAAGGATTTAAATAGTTAATGAAGGATACCTTTAATATAATTGTATTGATATTGTTTGTAACCCCAGAGACACAATTTCCAAAATTATTTGCTCATCTAGTCAAGTTATCACTAACGTTCTTGAATATATAAGATTATATATTCTGTAGGGATAAAAAGGTTTAATTGGGATGTCTGGATCAAGCTGTGTTCATTTAGGCACCTGCTTATTTGGTCTACTTACCCTTGCTTGCCCAACTGAGCTGGTACTAGCAGAATAGAGAGACCTACAGTGTTTTGATAATACTGAGCACCTTGAACAATTTTAAATGTAGTTTTGTTAAGTTACCTTGATCTATAAGTACCTGTGTGAATACCTTTGGTAGATTTTTTTTTTTTTTTTTTGGTTTATTTGAATCTCAATATGGATCTTTCGGTGACGAAATTATTACATATGGGAATCAAAGTAAACCTACAGGTCATTTTGTTAAATCATACCAGGCAATACAAAAATTATAATCAGCTACCTTTAAAAGTACATAAAACGGGGCTAAAAATTAAAAGAATCGACATCTCAACTTTTGGTTGAGGATCAGCACAAATAAATTCAAAAACAAAAAAGCGTGCGATGAATATCACTAGTCGGTTTTATTTTGCTTTAACAGGATAATAGCTGTTTTCTGTATTTACTTAACCTTTGTCTCTTCCACGTCGTTTCCTGACTTACCTGCAGTTGGAGTGGGCCTAAGCCTGGTGTTGCTGCGGCAGCAGCTGCCATGGTAGTTGGGATCAGCTGAACAGGGTAAGGGTCACCTAAGTAAGAGAATAATAGAGGCGTCAGCACCTTTTATCTACTCTCCACCTGCAAATTAAACTCATGCATTCACTCTTTCCAAAAGCCTTCTTTTGTGTGCCTTGCTGAGGCCTAATGAAAAGCTCTATTGTGCAGCCTTTTACTAACACTCTTTTCACAATTCTGGCTGAGAGAGGAATGTGAATAAAAGGCACAAGCAATTAAGGCGGAAACCTCATCCTTTTTCATGATGTATTTAGAAAAATGGGAGGAAAAAGTGTGCATTGATCAGAGGGCTACACTTTATAACATACACACATGCGCACACACCTGACAATCTTGATATGAGCACACCAACTCTTCAAAACATTGAAAATGTTATTAGAAAAGTAACTTAACAAATTTAATTCTATTTTAACAAACTAAACTCTAAAGATTTAAGCCAAGTAGCTTATCTTTTCAATCTATTATTCAAGTAACCAGTTAAATAATGTCTTGTGGATAAATTCATAACAAAGGAAACATTTGATGCACTTTTTAAGTTACATAACATATTGGTACCTTTATTATTCCACACACAAATGTTTATGAAAATATAAAGAAAACAGAAGATAATTTCTTCCCAAAGGGTTTCTGTTTGTGGGGCTATCTAAAATATTAAATCTTAGTAATTCAAAATTAATCTTAAAGTTTTAATATTTATGATCTATAAAGATACACACACACATACATATATATATAAGGAATATCATAATGTATATTTTTGATCCAAAGAAGAATTTTTCCACTTAGCAAAGAAGTGCAACAGACTTTTTGCAGAGTCCAAAAATATGCAAACAGAGAAGTATATTATTAATATCTGAATATGACCACAGCAAATAATTAAAAATTATAATTATGAAAACAATTTTCTAATATGTAACACAAGTTTAAAGCTCTAATTTATTAAACACTTGTTGATGTCAAATGTATGAAAAATATAACTCAAAATATTTGTTTAGCCCTGGCCGGTTTGGCTCAGCGGTTGGAGTGTCTGCCTGTGGTCGGGAGAGACCCGGGTTCGGTTCCCGCTAAGGGCATGTACCTCGGTTGCAGTTTGTCCCCGGCCCTGGTTGGTCGTGTGGGTGGCAGCCACTCGATGTGTCCCTTTCACACCAATGTTTCCCTCTCTCTCTCTTCCTCTCCCTCCCTCCCACTCTATCTGTACAAAAAATGAAAAAATGCCCTCGGGTGAGGATAAAAAAAAATATTTGCTTAATATATTCATTAAAAATATTTATTGAGTACCCGTTCTGTTGATAAGCATTGCTCTTGACACTAGAAATAGAGTTTAAAGAAGATCAATATGCACAGGTGTATTTACTGGAAATTTGATGAAGCTTAATCTTTGAGGTTGCAGGGAGGGCTCTTAGCAATGTATTCATAGAGTAATACATTTTTATATTTGTCGGCTTCCTTGATTTTTTACTTTGTTGAAATTTCTTTTTATAAGTGAACATTCAAATTGCACTTATGTATGGATGTGTGTATTTTTTCATATTTTTATTCTTAAAGCAACTCCCTTTAAATTATGTTTCAGGCTTCAAAATATCTGAATGTACTGTGCTGATCTGGCCTTCTCAAATCTTAGAGCTTAATGGGAAAAAATGATAAAGATAAAGATAAAAATTAGTATAAAATATTATGACTGGTAAGATAAGGAAGTATATAACACTATAGACTACATTGTGGATGCTCCAAACCCAGTTTAAGAGTCAAAGACAGCCTCTAGGAAGATGTCATGCTGAAGCTAAAACTTGAAGTAAGTGAAAGCTATCCAGGCAAAGAAGGGAAAGAAGAACATTCTAGCAAGGGCAGCAATTTTCATGATGACTCAGAGTCAAATGGGAGGGTTTTATCACGGCCCAGCAGAGAATCGCTGAGGTTTAGAGGGAGTAGAGAGAAATGGTTCTGGAGCAGGAATCAGAGGCCAGATTATGGATAGCTTCGTAAACAATTGTAAAGGACCTGAACTTCATCCCATAGGATAAAAGAAACTATGACCATGGGAAAAAGACAAGTTGTGTAAAATCCTTCGAGCTAGCATCTGGAAGCTGCAATCAATAATACACAGATGCCGAACTCTGTGCAATATGTAGTGATGGTCTGGACCAGGGTGAGGATGCTGGGATGGAGAACAAGGAAACTCACTGACAAGACTTAGTGATCATTTGCGATGAGTGAAAGAGAAGGTCAAGGGGGACTGCCAGGGTTTGGACTTGAACAGCTGATTGTACAGTGGTACCATTGGTTGTTGGGTTTTCAAACATGGGTGAGAAGCAAGATGGCCAGTCTAGACCTGGTTGGGGGGAAAGGCAAGGGAGGGGGGAAGAATAGAGAGTTCAGATTTGAACATTTTAAGTTTGACATTACTATTAGATATCCAAGCAGAGGTGTTCATTGAGGCACTCGATACACACGTCAGGATTTTAGGGGGGAAATCCGCATAAGAGACATAAATTTGAGAGTGGTCAACACATATCTGGAATTTAAAGCTATAATCAATCCTTCATGAGACCATTTTGGAGTTAATAATAAAAACGAAAACAAAAAACGAGGTCAAGGATTAACTGGATGGTGGGATACACTAACATTTATACCCAAGGAGATGGCGCACTAGAAGAAAAACCGAGGAGAAAAGTAAATTTGGTGTTCCAGAAGCCCAGTGGAGAAAGATTTCCAGAAAGAGTGCTCCACTTTTCAAATGTGGAATATAGTAATGTGGAAGTCACTGGTAGCTTCAACAAAGGCAGCAGCACTGGAGTGTCTGGTGAGGACACCTCCCTGGAGTGACTGTGGCCAACGGAGGATGATGGAAATTAAGAAGCTGGACGCACAAAGTGCAGCGCCTGGTTCCCTGAAAGAAAGCCCTTGCAGAGCAGCACTGGCATCGCCTCAGAGTTTTTTTAGAAATGTAGAATTCCAGACCGCACCCCAAATCCACTAGGGCAGGCAGCCTCTAATTTGGAACTCCCAGGCGTTTCCACTACCTGGCAATGCCTCTTGCATAACTCCTCTTGAACAAAAGGCAAAGGCGATGAGGTACTGCTTTTTGATATTAGGCTACACGAAGTCTCTGGATCTGATGAGCTTCCCCTCCCCATCCCTCCCCTCGCTCTCGGTCTTGGAGTAAGCGGCTATGTTGTGAGCTGCCTTATGGAGAAACTCACAAAGCAAAGGACTGATGTCTTCGGCCAACACTAAGCAAAGACAGAAGGCCGGCCAATAGCCAAAAAGGGAGCTTGGAAGTGGATTCCCCAAGTCAGCCTGGAGTACCGTCCAGGCCAACACCTTTCCTGCAGCTATGTGAGCGATTTAATCGAGAAAACCTCTTATTTTGTCAAGTGAAGGGAATGTCAAATGTTTAAATGTTGAATCTGTATTTACACAAACCTAAAATAACAAATATTACAGCACCACTATTAGAATTGACAATTTAAATTCTTAAAATGTAATTCATTTATATTTTTCATTTAATGAATATAATCTTGACATTAACTACATCAGAAGTATAGAAGCTTTGGTGCTCTTCACAGTGATAATCCATTTCATTTCATTTACGTTCCCTATTGTGAATTAATCAATTAATAAGCACTCATAACATCTACCATGTGACCAGAAATTTGCTTGGCGCTGTGGTAGACAAAAACAACAAAACAAAACAAAATAAAACATGGTTTCTATAACACAGCTATCTTTCCTAATTAAGTGTCTTTTTGAGCAGCACTGACGATCACACAGGAGTTAAGGAAAGACTCTTCTCTTCAGAGAATAAAGGTTAAAAAAGAGTGAGCTTGGCTTTTAAAAATTTGTGGGCAGAGGGGAGGAGAGATGTTTCAGGTAAGGTGAAGAGTGTCAAAGTTTGACTGTGACATGCTGAAGGAAGAGCAAGAACACCAGATCAACTGAAAGGTGATAGAACAGAGTAAAAAGAGAATGAAGGCAGGGAGCTGGGAAACTTTTTACCCTTCAGATTTGAGGATATTTGTATATGAAACTGATGGATATGAAGTGGAGTTTTAACAAGTATCCTTAAAGAAGTTAGGTAGCAGGAGGTCTTAAACATAATCCTGGAACCCAAGGACAAAGATTTACTCATAAATTTGGATTGATAGCAAACACCTGTATATGTGTTTTGAGCACTTGCAAATTACTAGTATCTAATTGTGAATAACACATTGAGTATTATATGTACATTTGAGGCTCATTTCAGTTAAAATCTAGATTATTCCATAACATTAAAAAAATGCATATATTAGAGCCCTCGCCTATATGGCCCAGTTGCTTGGGCATCCTCCCATGCACCGAAAGGTCGCTGTTTCGATTCCCAGTTGGGGCATATGCCTGGGTTGCGGGCTCAGTCCCCACTAGAAGGCATGCAGAAAGCAGCCAGTTGATGTTTCATTCTCCTATCCGTTTCTCTCTCCCTCTTCCTTCCTCTCTCTAAAATCAATAAAACTATTCTTTAAAAATGCATATATTTGAATCTGATATTTTTTCATTTCCCAATTTCATTAATACACACTAAATAAATGAATATAATTATCTTCCGTTTGGATACATATACAACCAGTCAGGGCACATGCCCAGGTTAACACACAAGTTTAAACTGCACAGGTCCACTTATCTGGGGATCTTTTCAGAGTGTTTTCGACCCATGGTGGGGATTCAGCAGATGCAAAGGGCTGACTGTATATATTGATCTACACCATTTTATATAGTGGACTTGAGTGTCCAGATTTTGGTATCCACAAGGGGTCCTGAAACCAATTGCATGTGGATACCAAGGTAAATTTTGTTTTTTTGGAGTCAAAAGTTATATAAAAATTTTCGACTGCATGGGGTCAGTGGCCCTAATCCCTGCTCTGTTCATGGGTCAGGGTTGTGTGTGTGTGTGTGTGTGTGTGTGTATTTATTCACATATCATATTGTACATGTGTGTGTAAATGTATATATGTATGTGTATATATGAAACACTTAT